AGCTTGACATGAAAGTTTGAGTAGTGTAATAGTTGTACATATAAAGCACATCACAGGTACTGTACAACCTCCTGGAGCTTTTCCTTCTGCGTTTCCTGACTCTTGGGGGTACACATACAAAGGCACTTACAACACTGAAGAGTTGAAGTCCAAATATCAGAGCTGTCAGTCAGCAAGTTTCCTTTCAGTAACTTTCTTTTTATTACTTTTTCTTCTTTTACATGTGTAACAACCCATGGCATGTCATTTGGTGGTATTACTGATAAATAACCCAACTGTGCCTATTTTTGGGTCTGTAGTGTCAGTTAATAGAGAGATGTGGGGGTACACTGCATTAGTATCAGAAATATGTTCTAAATACACAAAGGCAGTACTGTGCTTACTGTAAAACCACTGATGGTTGCAAAATAAAAACTCTCCTGTAAAGTAAACCGTGGAAGAAGTAAGTAATAGCCAGATGCAAACAAGAAAAATACATTCAGCTGAATTTTGAGAACAGCTGGGGTAGGAGAAAGAAGAAGGCAGGAGAGAGACTTTCTGAGTCAGGAAGGTACATTCAGCTTATAGGGGCTTTCTAAAAGGTGAAAAATTTCTGAAGCAGTAAGGAAATGCAGAGTGGGACAGATTTTTCAAAGGCAAGCTCGAGGAAGTCTCTGGAGAACATATCAAACAGCACCAGGGTTAGCGATGGAGGTAATTTTTTTTCCCAATGGGCTGCCAAAGTCACCGTTCTCAAATGTGACAGAGACAGGTGCCGTCCTGATGGATGTCAAAGATTTCAGATGTCTAAATGAGCAGGGTGTTTAATTAAAAAAACCCCACAAACAACAGGAACCTTTATTAAGTAATCAGAAATAATTATGGGAAATTTTAGTCTTTTAAATATATTGCTGTCCAACAAGGCTTTAACCATAACTTAGAAGTTCATGCCTGTTAGCTGAAGCTTTTTGATCTGAAAATTCAGCTACACAAAAGCTCTTTCTCTAGGTCTTTTGCAGTTCTCAGATCCAACTGGCTGAAAGCCACCATGGGACCAAAGTTTTAGAGCATTTTTATATGCCCTTGTTTTGTTAACCTTTCTTGAAAAAAATGAACTAAAATTCTGAATGGAAATAAAGTTTGTGTCCCTCTGTATTTAAAAGCAAGCAAAATAAACCAGGCTGCTACTTATATTTACCAGGCTGCACCTTAAATTTACATGTGAAATGGTGTATGTCATTGCTCCATCTTAGCTGATTTACCTACTCCTACTACAAGTATTTTCCTAGAAGCAATAAAGCCTTCTGGTGCAAATATTTCCTCCCAGAGCTGTGACATACCCGTGATACATATTGCCTGTCCAAAATAGACAAGTACTGAAAACAGTTTTTTATATCACTGAATATAAACCAAGATCTAGCAGTTATGTCTCAGATAATAGTTTTTCTCTAAAAAATAAAATCTTCTGGAACAGATATATTCAATAGGTCAGGAAGTCCTGGACAAATAGGTTTGGTAAATCACCAGCTAAGTCTTATAGGCCAAAACTCTAGTAAATATATCACAATAAGCATAGCACAAGGACACGATATGGTCAAGCTGTGACTGAATATCATACCAGTGGACGGGCTGTGGATCATGGACTTCAAAGTTTTCTCTATATAGGTTTAGCAGGTGTCTTCCTACATTTTTTGAAATTGTATTGCTCAGAAGAATAAGGAGATTTGTAACACGCTTATTAACAGAGAACCCCAAGGGAGTGTCTAAACTTCACCCTCTCCCCCCCCAAAAAAATTTAAAAAAAAAAAAAAATCATTATTTCCATTGTTATTTGGCAGCTGTGGTAATTATAAAATTTTATTCGGTTCCTATTAATGAGTTATTGTGGCAATATGTTATAGACTTAAAAACAAGCCAGCTGCTACCACTTGCCAAGATGTTTCTCAGGCCTTTTGACAGCTCTAAATGTATCTGGAATAAACTTCAATTTTTCAAACGATGAGACTGTGAGAACCAAGAGCGCTTTGCACAGCAAGAGCGCTGGGGGATTGCAGCTTTATAACCAAGTGGGACCCTGAAACCTAGTGTCGTCTTTCAAAGCCACACAATCAGCAGCACCTTTGATCTTGTTATTGGAAATACAAACAGAAACATAGCACACCCCCAAAAACAAGAAGAACAGGTCATATTTGCTTTTACTGAAGCAAAGCAAACTGCCAAATACAGCTATTTCCACAGTGCTAGCAGCATCAGGCACACCACAGCTCAGCAGCAGCAGCTCCCCAACTCTGCTTTGCAGCTAGCAGTTTTGACACAAAGAGCACAACACAGCTCTGAGGTTTCTCTTCTATCTATGAGCTTTTAGCCATACAGCTGTAGATATAGTATGTAGGCATCACCTGGTGCAAGTGGCAATGTGAAGCTCAGAAGGTTGCCTGTAGTCATCTTCAGAGCCATTGGTACAGTGTTACCCTTGGCTTTCTGCTTGACCATAATGATACAAGCATAAGACATTTACAGCCTGGAGTCATCTGACCAATTTTAGATTTCTAAATGCTTTTCAGATGTGATTTATCCCAGGAGAGAGATCAGACAAGCTATATCCAGCACTTACTTTACTTCATCAACTCTAATAGGAGTCAGGGGTGCTTAGCACACAGACACCTGCGTTGTGGATGGGTTAGGGATCCAGCAGGTATCTCAAGTCATCTGATTTCTCTCTAGCTGCATGTCTCAAAAAAACAAAGTGCACAGGGAAAATTACATTAATATAACCCAAAGCAAGGCAATGCATTTGTGAAGGACCATGGGATCAATGTGAACAGGCTGGAAATCACAGCTTCAGAGCGCATAACTTAAAAGAGGATCACATTCTTCAGATGTTTCTGTTCCCTTGAAGGAGAAGCTATGTCTCCAATTACACCAAAAACTGCTTTAAGCGTCCAGCTGTTTTACACTCCTCGTTAAGATTCACCCAGCTACCGCACATTCCAAAGCACGGGAACAGAGACACATCTACTAAGATATATTTACGCTAATCTGACCCAAACCAGTGCTACTCATCCAGGATCAAATTCCATCCCAAAGTGAGCAGCCAAAGCGAATTAAACTTGCAACATCAAGTGCCGCCGGAGTCCTATTCTGAGAACCCAAGTATCATTTAAGAATCATGCTGCTTTTCTGCAGCAAGCACAAGTCTACTTCTTGAGATTTGTTCTCCCATTTCACAGGGAGAAGCTGCATGGCCTCCCAGGCTCTGCATCCCAAGAAGGACATTTCACAGATATGCTGCAAACACGGTTGTGTGAGCACTGTCTTAGGTTGCATGGACCAATTCTCAACAGCTACTTGTCAAGCAAGGCCAGATGGTTGAAGGCATTTAAGCACTGCAAGGCCTAAACAAGCGAGGAGCTAACATTGCCTTGCTCGCTCAGAGAGCCATCTCCTTCACAGCACTCTCACCCAAAGAGACCAAGCATGAGGTCCTGAATGACCGTCCAGAGGGAATCCCAACCTAGGACTGAATATTTTAGCTGCTGAAATAACTTGCTGAAGGTGCATCACTGCAGCTTCCACACCAAACTAGAGCTCCTGCCTCCTCTGCAGGATTCCCTGGGGGAATTGCTACAGGTAGGAGGGTGTACAGAAGGGACAGATAAGACATACCACTGAGAGACTTACAGATATCTTACTGTACTGCTGCTAGTATAGCCTCAGGATCACAAAGGTGGGACTCTAGCTCCTTGCAATACTAAACAGAAGGGGTATTTACAACCTTGAAAAAACCTAGTCTTCATTGCCTGAAACCCTACAGCAAGATTGCTTCCCATCTGCCTAATTAAATTGACCATTTGTCCCTATTAGAGGCAGCTGTGCTACTTACAGCAATTAAGGTGGCACAGGAGGGAAGTGACATTTTTGGTTTGGGAAGAGAGTGTTTGCAGCACTGACAGCATGGAAACATTCGTCACTATGATGAGGTGACATTCCTAAGTATGTAACGAAAAAAGGCATTCACCGAACGTGAGCGCTGTCAGAAGTTCGAATTCAAGAAATGTGCTTCCTTAAAGATAGTCTTCATTCTGATTGCAGAGATTTGCAACAAATAAAACAATTGTGTCTCTGACAATGCAAAGCATTCATAGCCACTGGCCGCAGTTTTACAGCATACACTTTTGCCTTTTGATATAGGACATCTGTGAGCTAGCAGCAGTAATAAATCTGAACGTTAGCACAGATAATTTCCCAAGTTTTAGGTCAAATGCTATCAAACTTAACTTATCACCACATTAAGATAAAACAAGCCCTTTTGTCATTAGCTTTCTGATTCGTTGCCTGATTCCAGAACCTGGGACACAGTAAATAGGTTCCTTTTTTTTCCTGTAGCATAGTGTGTATGCTTTATGCCCACTGGTTATTGTTATTAACCATATAGAGGGAAATCACTGCTTGAGCCCTTGCTAGAAGAGGGGAATGTGATGATTTCAGCATGTTTCAAAGAGACATTCCTAAAATAACTAACTGTTCTGTAGTTTTATCACAGTATAAGGCCTGAGCTTAGTGGTTAGGTTCCCTGATCTGCAACCATACTGGTTTGGATCTTGTCAGACTTCAGGCTACGCAGTGACAGGCTTTTGTGCTGGATACATTGAGGGTAGTGGTATTTGTGTCTCATAGATGGCAGCCTTCCCTGTGAACAAACGTGAAAAACGGGCTGCAGCCTTGCAGAGATCTTTGCCACAGGAAACTCTGTCCTTTGTGCAGTGTCCGCAGGGACAGCCCTTTGTAGGTGTAAGACGTGGGGAAGAAAGAGTTGTGCCATATGGGGAGAGGGAAAATAGTCCCCATCGTAGAAAGGAGGGCTTGAGTGTGCTCCAGAATGGCTGGAAGAGCTTCAATGAATAAAATTTAGTGAAGCTGAACGTCATATCTCAGGTCTTGTGCTGGGGTAGCTGTAAGGAAGACACACACACAAAAAAATACCTTCTTTTAATGTTTCACAAAGTATGTTCTTATTTTAGAGTCTACATATCGTCACCAAGCTACCATTGATGATGAAGTGGTTTCCATGGAGATACTAGATACAGCTGGTCAGGTGCGTGGGTGCATGTACTGTTATCCAATACCTTGGCTCTGATAGACAGCCGGGAAGGGGAGTGCGGTGGTGGCAACAGTGCGGTGGGTGGCAGGTGTGCTCCGCTTCTGGGAACAGAGGTTTGCTTCTGAGCAGAGTGCCCCCTGCTCCACCACCATCAGCTTGCTGCCAGACCCAGCATGCTGGATCTAGACCCTTCTGCAGGGAACGCTGCCTAGCATTTCCAAACACTGGAAGAACTAACAAAGTCAGGGTTTACTCTGGGATCAAAATGGTTTTGTTCTCATTCCTTGATTCAGGGCCAACCCACCAAGATGTTATTACTATGCATAAAGTCACAGTCTATTTCTGCAGTCAAGTGGTGAGGCTCGACAGCCTCGATCACTGATTCCGCCAAAGTGAAGAGCAGTTTTGTCATAGCCAGATCCCCTTTCCTTTCAAAACATGGCAGATGCTCACGCTGCACAGTTCTATGCAGTTTGTTCAGCAGAGACCCTGTTCCAGTGGCCCGTGACCAGCCTGTCCACAGGCAGTCCGTGGTGCCGTGGTAGAGTAGATCTCCTATGCCACACAATAAAACGAGGTGATGTGTGTAAAGTACAAAGTCAAGTAGTTGTACATGGCTTTGCAGGCTTTGGAGGACTGACGTCTATCGGAAGGCCTGGTGTCTTTTTCATAAATCCCATTTCTAAGGCTGATGTCTGTCTTTTCAAAACAGGAGGACGCTATTCAGAAAGAGGGACATGTGCGATGGGGTGAAGGCTTCGTGCTCGTTTACGACATCACGGACAGAGGCAGCTTTGAGGAAGTGCTGCCACTTAAGAACTTGTTGGATGAAGTTAAAAAACCCAAAAATGTCACCCTGATCCTCGTGGGGAACAAAGCAGACTTGGATCACTCCAGGCAGGTCAGCACAGAGGAAGGTGAAAAGCTGGCCACAGAACTAGCATGTGCTTTTTATGAGTGCTCTGCTTGCACAGGAGAGGGCAACATTATGGAGGCTTTCTATGAGCTCTGTCGCGAGGTACGGCGTCGAAAGATGGTCCAGGGCAAGACTCGGAGGCGAAGCTCCACCACCCACGTCAAGCAGGCAATTAATAAGATGCTTACCAAAATCAGCAGCTAAAAAGAGCTGTACTAAGCCAGAGAAGCATTTTAGAGCATATTAGCTTGGATTAGGGATGAGGCAGGCAGAGCACATTTAATTAAAAATGGTCAAAGCATTGCAATTAAAAAAAAAAAAAAGACAAACCACATCACTTTTTCGAGTAACACAGGGTCAGACTTTTTTCCTGTTTTGAAATGTATTTAGCCACACTGCTTCTCCAAAGGACTAGATAATTGTGGGGATTGGCACTGACAGTGTCTCCTGCTTCAGTAAGGCTGGCTCCAATCCCCTGCAAGTCAGTAGTGCCTAAACATCATTTCCAGCCAGCCAGCTGCTCAGTAGCCATTGGAGAGTGAGATTCAGCCCTCAGTCCATCAACAACCATCATAACTGGTGTTCTCAAGGACTGAATACACGTAGAGGCTGCTGTGTTGTACCAGGAAGTTCATCTGACACCTTTCACCAGCTCTAAATCGGTGCATTGTGTGCTTTTACTCCAAACCGTCCTTCCTTCGTGTTATTTTTGTCAACTGTAGGAGTGCTGATGTTCTTAGCAAAGTATGCAAAAAATATAGGAAAGGTCTATTTCACGGAGTGTTTAGCCAGCAAGACACACGTTTCAACAGAGATGAAGTTCAGCCACTTTTCCAGATCCTCTGAAACTGCAGAATTCATCAAGAAATAATCAGCTAGTCCAGTGGCATTTCAGCATTTCTCCCTCAAAGTGCAGTACTGTACTTGGGGAAATGGGAGTGTACGTGTTGATAAATCAAACTGAAAAAATAACCAGATTACTATTGATTTAGTTATGGGTAGTTTTTAGCTTTTTGTTTACATTTTTGTTTCGGTCTTACTGCAATTCAAGTAATTCTTATTCTATCTTATATGGAAGAAGAACTGAATCCATGGGAAGACAAGTATTAAAGTCTAAGCCCAAATGTAAAATCAGATGTGAATGGCCTCTACTATATCAGAAGGCCAAAATTTCCAGCTGTTTAAACTTCCAGATGTTGCTTGAAGCACTCTGTGGTTTAAACCAGCACAGGTTTTTTGTGACTCTATCTGGCATATTCAACTGAAGTGCATTTTATCAGATTTTGGTGCTTGGGATAAAAGGTGTCCATTTTTCGCTCCTCTCTCCTCCCTCATGCATCTCGTTGAAGCCAGCTGTGAAGTTTTGCGTTGTTACTTGGCTTGCTAAGAGATGCAAGAACCAAGACTGAAAGACTTTCATTCAGATTGTGCTCATCTTCCATCAGTTGTGTTGCATCCCTCTAGGCAGCGTGGTGTGCAGCTCAGGCTGCCATTGTGTAGAACCACAGCCAAAGATTGGGAACACAAATGGGAATATTAGCAGTACTCTCCTTTGAGGAATAGCCCCCTTGTAGCAACTACTTAAAACTTTATTCTCCACTGCTTCGTACTTTATGTGGTTATTTGCCTCTGTAAGGAAGTAACGCCAAAAAGCTATCAAACGCAAATTGCCACAGAGGTAGGAGAGTGAGGATATCTGGTTGGATAGCACTTTGTAGAGTTATAGGTAGCCATAGAAGAGCTGGAATTGGCTGGAGAATCAAGCCTGTATATCCCTGTGGACAGAGAAAAGTCCCAAGCCAGGACTTCTGAAAAAGACTCACTTAAAGATAGTTTAGCAAAGTAAATTTTTTGTAAACATTCTCTCGCCCTCATCTTTTACCCAACCAGCATCAAAGACCATCAAATTCAGGTGTATGTTTTATTTGTACTGTTGCAAATTTTCTTTGTTTCCTCCATTCTAGATAGTGAAAATTCATTCCACTTCTGGAATCAATATCTATATTTTGGTCCTCATATTCAGGTATGTTGCCGTGTACCAGCTACATGCACTGCAATGGAAACTTTGCCATGTGCTGCTTGGGCAGGAGGTTCTCTCAACAGGTGACATCACTGTCTCCATGACACACCTGTGCCCAAACTATTGGTCGTATCACTCTTTTCTGTGAAAGAAAAGAGAGAAGTTTTGCCATTTTTGGTCATATTAGTAATGCAGAATCAATATGAGTGTAAAAGGAAGAGTTAGTGCCTATTCCCGCACCACTAGTTATTAGCTGAAGGTCTGAACTTGCAAACGTGTGTTACAGTGTTAGGAGCTAAAGTGAGCATTTCACGAAGACATTCTGGTATTTTCCAAATCAGTGCCGTTATATGAATCTGAAGCAAGCAAAATCCTTACCTGCAATCCCATGGCAACATAGCTGATGAGGAGAACCATTAGGTCGGTATTCTAAGCAATTGATTTATCCCTCTCTAAGACAACTTCAGCAGTTCTTTTCTCTGAAAACCTTCCTTGGGTTTCAGGGTAAAGCTGCATTTAAAATGCAGAAAGGTAATATATGAATTAAAAGACAAAATAAATTAATCATATTCGTATTAGGAGAGTTGAAAGGAAGGAGAGGCTAAGTTATGACTTTTAATACCTTCCAAAAGAATCCCAGCAAATTGTATCTTCTTTTATAATGTCTGTCTGGAGACATTATAAAATCCTGGTGAATGAAAATGTTCCACTGTGCAAACATGGCTTGTTACATAAAGAACCTCTAATAAAAATAGTAATGTTCCTTTGCGAAGACTGAATATGTAAACTGTCAAGCACGATAAACACTCGGTCAAAATGGAGGCTGCTGTTTTGTGACCTTTCCTCCCACATGAACACAAATTTCTTTACTTAATTGCTCATTAATTTTTTTTTCCTTGGTGTAATGGGCTACTTGCAAGCCAGTTATAATATAGTATATTATAATCTGTTGATACATATTACATAGTTTTAAATGCAGTCTGATTTACCGTTGCTCACAATGTTGCAACATATTATTGGCTATGCTATAAATATGTCATTTTTCTACAATGTGCAAATTGAGCCAAAAAGTGCCCAAGCATTGAAAAGGCTAAATGCAACATGAACCCACATTTGTTAGCCTTTCTGCAGCAGACATCAACAGTTTAAATTCTGTTTCTACTGCTGCTATTTAAATGTACGTATATGACACTAACATTAAACTCCTCTCCTCTGCCCGTTACCATTTCTGCAGAGAAAGGATGGGAAGGACAGTAAAGAAGAAGGGGGAGGAAAGGTGAAATGGTTACTTGTTACCTACAACAAGTTGATTGTCATTTATGAAGTTTTTAAATATTTATCTTCAATTGATGAAGAGTTAGTCATGCCCATGCTGCAAGACCTGGATCAGGAACCAAGACTTCCCTAGAACTTTGATAATCTTCATATCTGGGGGTTTGGTGCAGCCGCAGATGGAAGTGAGGATCAGCTGCTGGGTTTGCACCTGGATCCAGACAATTTGTCCCCAAACCTGGGGATAGTTGCATCTGGCAGCTTGCTACAAGGCTAGTTGATTTTTATATATATAATGATCTGTATGCATTTTTACATTAAAAATATGAAAGCTTGTGCTTGTAGATAATATATAAGAAAAAATAAAAACAAAAATAAAAATAAAAAAATAGTGCACTCTGTACTGAACTCCTCCACATTGATCTTTTGTTAGTTGTCTCTGAAGTGTTGTCTTCCAGCTTTTAAGGAGCCAGTTCCAGAAGTCCTGATTCAGTTTTTATTTAATCTTATCTAAGGAAAACAAACAGTGAATTTTGCCTGAATAAGCACTTCAGCATTTGGATCAGTTTATCTGAACTTATGTGGCTGCAATCGAGAGGTCGGGCAGCATCTACAGTGAAGAACAGAACCAAATGTCCTTGTTAGCTGTTTCAAGGCTAAGCAAGAAAGCTGCAGTGCCAGCGGTATTAAATGACCTTGGTGAAACCCATCGCCCAAACTCTGTCCTGCTAGCTAACATGGATCTTGATCCCAAGCTTCTCAGGTAAAATTTTGGGCTAAGAGGTCTGGGAGATTTATGTGACTGATTTGGACAGAGACAACTTTTCACCTGCTGACAGCTATGCCCGTTTTCCGAGGATAACCACAATGCACTGTTGTTCGGAAGGGAAGGTGCAGCATGTGTACCTTATGCCAGGTACATCACATCAATGGTGAACAGTCGCACGTAGTGTGGGTATCAAGCTGTAGCAGAGGAAGCTTCATTGCAGAAGAGGGGAACCAGCTGTAAACCACTCTCTTGTTTTCCTCCAAACCTGGGCCGTCCAAGTAGCCCAAAGCGCACTTGTAAACAGCTGAACTGCAGTGGAGGGGGGGATCTAAAAATTCCACCTCTGGCAGAGCACTGCATGAAAACTGGGTGCAGGATCTACGCTGTGAGGTGAAACCTCCCAAAAGTAGGTGAGGCATCTTTCCAGTCACTGTCTGCTGCTGTAGCACTGCGAAGCAGCCTGGAGTTACATCAAGCTGCACTGTAACTTGCTCCAGTCAAAATAATGTTTCCTGCAAAATATGGAGCTGTAGTCATAATGGCTACGTATCAACAGTGTTTGGGGTTCCTTTTATCTTTCTCTTTGATGGCTCAATCCGTTTGCGTATCTTGAGAAGAAAAGAAAAAAGATAGAGGCTTTAATTAAAAAAGGCTCCTTGGCATTTTGGTGTATCTGCCTTTATGCTCTTTGAAAATTTAAACGTATAATGAAAACAGTGTCATCTTAGAAACTCTGATGTTGTGTACTTTATTCCCATTACAGTTGCCAGGCACTAATTACTGCAGGTTTATGAAAATGTATGACAATAGAGAGCAGCGGCTTGTCGTCCTGTGCTTTGCAAGGTTACTAGGAAGCGATAATGATGGCTTGCGTGAGGCCCGTTCAGTCTGGTTTCTGTAAACACAGTCCCACGTCAGGAAAGCTATTACTGCAGCTCGCAGCAGAAAGAGACAGGCTGTGTTCCTGGGGCAGGGCTCCACTGACTCCAGCAGGGTTATGCATGGGACGGGTCAAGCCCCTGGTTCACGGCCTTGGTAGCCAAAGTGTGGGGAAAAGTCTCCAAGAGCCAACCTCTCTCCACTTGAAGGATCTCTCCTCCATTTTTGGTCTGAAGTACACTGGTAGGAAAATGGGAGGCAAGTTTACACTGCTGGCATCTAATAAATTGGAGAATATGATGGGAGTTTGGTCTTCTGCCTTTTTGGGCTGGTCTCTTTTACCTCTGCTAGGTTCCCCAAAAAGCAGCATTCAGCATTTTTCTTTTCCCACTGCTATTGTTTTAAAAGAAGGGATTTTTTAAATGGCAGGTGGCAATACACTGTGATATCCAGGGATGTTATGTGGGCAAAGAGACTGTATCACTTC